CCCCCCCCCCCCCCCCCCCCAAGGCTGGTTTTCTAACCAGTTCAACATGTTAAATAAGTTAAGCAACAGGACTGATGCTCCAGACCCCAGTTTAAAAGAAGGGAGACACCATTTGGCCAGGAGCAGGAGAAAGAACAAGACCACCTCTTTTTTTGCACTGCACAGTGATTATGAGATTGGCTCAGCTACCACTGAACAGAATCCTTTAGTCTGTGCTGATCTGGAAAAGAAATTAATTCAATTATCTACAGTCTCTTTTAGTTCAGATGAGTGCAGGCATGTTTTAACCCTCTCTTAAGCCATAAATTCTTACTTCAGTGTCAAATTCTTTCTAGAAGAGCATATGGATTATCGAAGTTACTAATAATTCAAATGTTTAATTGAAGCTCCACTGTTCTGTGCTGTATCACTAGAAAGCCTTAAGTCTACTGTTCACTTGAACTGAGGAAAACTTCAACTCACAGTCTTATTAATAGAAAGCACCAATATTTCCTTACTGTGATCACTGCTCGTGGAAGCCTCGGTACTCTAACAAACTTTGTATTTTGTACCCGTGGCTGAGACACAGTATTAATACTGACAGCGGACAGATTGCTTCTTGGCACAGATTGCAAATTATCTGGAACAGGAGGAGAAGGTGGACCACTGTTACTTGAAGTTTCCTAACAAAATAAAACAAAAATACGGTCATAAAAATACACACTACATACGGCTATTTTAAAAGACGTAAGCATAAATCAGATTGTTCAATATGTGTCTTGGCACATGGAATTGTGATTTAGGCAGACTATCCAAATGTATTAGATCTTGCAATTCTGCAATAATATCAAAGAGGCACACAAGAATATAACAGGTCAACTGCTAAAGATTCATGACCTTTTAATGAGGTCAAAGACAATCTAAAACCATAAACTTCATTTCTCACCAAAAAAAAGTTAACCTCTAACTCCTTTTCCTAGAAGGCTGAAACAAAGTTTAATGTCTTGTTTTCTAACTGACCACTAATAACAAGCTTTTTTTTTTTTTTCCCAGAAAATAAAATCCCCATTGCCCTGAACATACTCAGTTTTCAGTACCTTGAAGTTTCATAATTTCTTCAGAAATAAAACACAAGCTGCAAATTATAATTCAAAGGGGTGGCTTTTGCTTCAGTTTCTTTTGGGGGATAGAGGGTAACGGAAATTCAGATTTTTTTAAAATATTCTTTTTTCAAGTCATTAGAAAGGCAGCATAAAAAAAGCCTGTAATCTTCACTTAGCAAGTCACATTTAAGTTTTGGTCAAGATTGCCATCTAGAGGTTTACATTCAAAAAAACCAATGGAGTACCTCAGATCTGAAAGCTCGTTTGTTGGCTAGAGACTTGAGTAATTCTTCTCTTAAGAGCATCTCCTCTTCTTCTTCCTCATCGGCAAATGGAGGTTTCGGTGGCTGTTCAGGCTCTTCAGGGGGAAGAGGTGGAAGAGGTGGAGGTGGCTCAAGAGAAACACAAGAAATACCCTCCACATAAAGATGGTTCAAAGATGGTACAGGCTGAGATAAAAAGGAAAAAAAAGGAATTGAAATGTGAAAATTACTACTACTTTATGACTATTTTGCAGAGGTTGAGACCTAAATTATGTCATGGCTTAAAACTAATTCAAACTGCAGTGGATTTAGATCACTGTCAAAAGCTGGTGCTAGATGGGTAGTAATTAATCAAAGAAGATAATGAAAACAAGGTTCCATTTGGATAGTAGAGTAGTGCAGACATACAAACTAAACGTAAATGACAATTCAGAACCAGACATAGTGTAGCCACAAAAATACGGCTGACCAGACAGGTTCACATTGCTTGGAGGAAAAAAACACCCCAACAATCAACCCCACCACACAACAACAAAGAAACACCACCACAAATACCCCCCACACCAAAAAAACTGTTCTTGAACAGTTTTATGAGTTTATCTTAGCTAAGAACACTACAATTTCCCTTTGCCAACAATTCAGAAGCTGTCATGGCAGGGAATGACAACTTTCTACTGCTTTATTAAGAAGGGTAACAATCATTCAGTGAAATGGTGGGAAAAAGCCACACTCAATTTCCACATGGACTCTCAGGTGAGAGGATAGACAGCATATAGTCAAAATACACAAAGTTTGAAAGAAGGACTGTGACAAGCTACATTTTTGGTTGTTTCTTCCCCTCTAGGTAGCAAGTCAGAGAATAAGCTTATCTACATACATGGCCTAGAGATAAGAGGTAAAGTTGCCTTGTGCTAAGAATTCCAATTGATTACTTTTCCTTATGTGCTTCAGGCAATTTTTCTTTGTTATGAAACAGCATGGCTCTAACTGAAAAGAGAAAACTTCAGTTTGATAGGAAGAACCTCAATTAAACATGAATTGGATCAGCCAAAAACCAGCTGAAATAGAGACTTTTAAAAAAGCAACCACAAGTTTATCAGATAGTTCCAGGGAATCACCAAATAGAGAATTGTATCAAAAGCAGAACCTAAATTTAACTTTAGCTTTAACATTAGAAGTAAGATACAAAGTGAGAATTATCAACATTTTCAAAAACTCACTCCTTCCAAGGTTACTTACTGGAATTGGAGGTGGCAGTGGCAAGGAAATTGGTGGGACCGGAGGTGGAAAATATCCTATTGGACACTCAAAGAAAGGAGGCTGCACTGGAGAAGAAGCTGCAATTAAAAAAATTATTGAGCGTAAGAAATCTGGCAGGTAATTACTAAACACAAACTCATGCTTATACTTCAAATGATTTCATGCAGCAGGAGATAACAAATGTTTTTACTATGCACCAATTTGAAAGGCAACACCAAACATAGTACAGTGCATTTATTTCTTACATATATGTTTATAAAGAGAGCAGTTACCTGCCCTTTTTCTATTTTACATACAAAATGCAAGTACAGTCAAACAATACTACTAAGGTAATGATTCTGCCCTCATGTTTGATTTAACTTGCAAGAATCTACCTTCTTAAACTAGGTATCTCAGAGACTCCTGATTACTGGCTACCACAAATACAATACGAATTAAGACAGAAGCAGACCAAATGCACAGCCGATACTGAATTCTGAAACATGAAACTAGAGCTTGAGGTGCTTCATCAAGAGAAAATTCATGTAGCTTACATGTCCAAAACAGCAGGTGCAGTATTTTAGCAAACTAATGTATAAGGTAGGCTTACAAGAAAGAAGAAAAAAGAAAAAGATGGAAGATGAAAAGCAAGAGAATAAAAATGGCCAATAAAGTAGGATGCTTAATGAAGCTTTCTCAACACTCCAGAAATGGAGATGAAGCGAGAAAACCTGAATATCTTAAATGCACCTCAAATTCAGAGTCAATAAATTATTTAAGCTGGAACAGACTTCTGGAAGGCACATGCCCCAGCATGTACTCAAAGCAGAGCTGCTTCCAAAGTCAGGTTGCTAAGGGCCTTGTGCAACTCAAATTGCAAGTTCCAAGTATATTAGAGGATAGGGATTCCACAACATTTCCAGTTAACCTGATCTAGTGTTTGACCATGTTCTGTGAAAGTTTTCCCTTATATCTAACTACAATTTATTCTATTACAAATTAAGTGTTGCCCCTTGTCCTTCTGTTGCAAACTCCACAGAAGAGTTTAGGTCTGTCTTCCCTGTAAGTGCCCACTAGGCAGTTCAAGACAGCAGCAAAAGCCTTTCTTAGCCTTCTCAACAGAAGTTCAGCTCTCCCAGCCTCTTTCCATAAATCAAGCACTCCGGTCCCCAATGAACTTTATGAAAAACAGGCCTCAGTTTCTTTAAAAAAGGAACTTTATGAAAAACAGACCTTAGTCAAAAAGGTCCTTTGCTAGATTCCTTCTAGCAGGTCACTATCCCTCTCCTACCATGAAAACAGAAAACTGATGAAGTCTCATCAGTGCCTAACCGCCCCCTCCAAACACCCACCCATTGTAGTCACAGTGCTACAACCCAGGCTGCAGTTTGCCTTTACCATCCAAAGCCACACAGCTGACTTGCATTTCACTTAATGTCCATTGGGGCCCCCAGGCCCTTTTTTGCAAAGCTGCTGTCTGGCCAGTCAATATCCTGGGGCTCTTACTTTCTACACAGTTGCTTGGGAATGTGAAAGAATAAACTCTACAGTACTGCAATGACAACGGTGTAACATTGAAGACCTTCAAAATACCACTAAAGCAGAGATGGAGAGCCAAGAGTCAGCATTAAAACAAGAAAACTGTAAATAAGTCTTACCTGGAGAGTTAGTTTCACTATCTGTATCCATAGCGACTTCATCATAATTATCATACTGATATATGCCTCCTGCACTATCTGTAGACTGCTTATCCAAAGACCATCTCAAGTCCATATCTGAAGACTAAACACATAGGAAAAAAGTCTATTTTATTTAGCTGGTCTTATGTTATCCTTCTAGAGCAAACCAATTAACAGTAAATTTTAGAAACAGGCCCTTATAATTTCGTCTTCTAATTGCTTTATAAATACAATTTACTTAGCTTGTACAAAAAAGCAAACTGAAGATTACCTTTTAACCACATCTACTGCAGGTAGTGACTTGACAAATTAACAGGCAGTTTTAAAACTGATCTCTTTGAGGAGGGAGGGGTGGAGGACTGTCATGATACACAGAAGCAATTTTTAAATACCTATTAGGTCATAATGTATCTGGTAAATTGCCATGGTTATATATTTCTGAAACACTGAAAGAAAGTTAAATGCTTGATTACTTCTTAATCTGTCATGGCAACTACCAAGAGCACTTGAACTACTCGTTACAAAACACAAAGTTGCACAAGGATCACCTTCACTATGACAAAGTTTGTGTGTTTAGGTGAAACATGCTTTGAATTGTTCTAAGACTGATGTCTCAGGTGGAAAATCCTTTTATTGTCCCAGAAGGGACCACATACCACACTGAAACATGTCCAGAGACTGTCAACTAATAAATCAGATTGTTTAAAGAATGTCTAATATTGTAAGGATGCCAATCAATGTTCAGTGAACACTGGAAATACACAGAACAACTAAGCATGACTCCTTAGAGGCATACAGTAGACATTCTGGCAGCTTTTGGAATTTCTACTGCTTACCATTAAACACTTGCAGCCTAAATTTTCCACTCATTATTACAAATGGAACTCTTCTATACCATGATCTTAAATAGGGAGTCCCAGTTCCCTTAGTTGCACTTTCATTTCTCCTTACAGCATCAGTAGCTCCAAGCATTTGAAGCTTCTAGCTGCAGCAGCAGTACTCCTTCCACAAAGAAAGTATTAAAGCTGAAGAAACACTGTCATTTTTCTGTAACGTACCAATGTTTTAGAGAGAACAACAGCAATTCAAGTGCCTTTTGCTAATCTCAAGATGAAAGAAGGAAGACATCCTGCAAATGCAACATGACAACCACTGCAGTAACTCTATTTGTTCATAAATTTGACACAATTATGTCATCCTGTAATCAGGATAAAGTAATTAATTATCTTTTGTGTCTGGCCATATTTTGTACCTTGACAAATGAAAAAAAATACTACAGAGAAACCAAACCTCAGATGACACTTTGAAAGAAGCAGGCCACTGAAGTGGTATAGACACAAAAAATTTGAAAGTATAGAGACAACACTGCAATCCAAGAGAAAAAAGCCCAAAAAAGCTTGGTTGATTGGTTTGTGTTAAGTTACAGACTGCTCTTTGATCATCACATTCAAAATATCTTTAGGAGGAAAATGCTTCACCATTGACTTGCAAATGTACAACTCATACATATCTGATCTTACTAAACCCAAAGGCAATGCTTGCCTAGCATGGGATTAAAACACTGTAAACACTGAAATACTTTGAGCTTTTTTTTAAGGGGAAGAAGGGGGGAAAGGAAGGACAAGACAGAAATCACTCATAAACCCCAAATATAACACCTGAATACATATAACAAATTTGTTACCCTGTTTCTCGATCTCCTCTTTCCTCCAACTAGCTTCATAAATCGATTGTACTGCTCTTCTTGATTTGAGAGGTCCCTAATTTTTCTGATTTCTTCTTCTCTCTTTCTTCTCTCCTCTTCCTCTTCTTGTTTCCTCTGGTCTTCCTCTTTCTGACGCCTGTCTTGTTCCTTTTGCTGCTGCATCTTCTTTGACGTCTTTGTCGGTTGTTTCCTCAAAGCTTGCTTGGCTTTAAATAAAAAAATATGTGATTAACTCCACCTTACCTAAATAGCTCCCCCTAATTCTAGATTGTTCAAGAGTTTTGAGTAGATGTATGGGGTTTTAGAAGGTGTAAGGGTCATTGCCCAACATTTCACATAACATACTATGGGGTTTTTTTTATTTCAGAGACTATACCATTGATAGCTAGTTCAGTAACATTAAACTTATTACCTGTAGCACTCGGCTTTTTTGTTGAATATGCTTTTGTACTGGCTTTGACCTTCTGTGTCACACTTCTCGTTTTTGTTAACTTTTCTTTGCTTTCCTTCATCACCTGTTGTTCCTTTTGCTGCCATTTTTTACTAGCAGACTGAAGTGCAAGAAGCCTAAGTTGCAATTCAGACATCTCCTCCTCATCATCAAGCAGCTTCTTGAGAAGAAAAAAGAAGAAAGGATAGGACAAAAAGTCATCAAGAAACATCATTTAATAACTAAATTTTTTTCAAAAAAGTCTCTTGAAGTCTGTCCTAAAAGCTTGAAAAACCTATTATACTGGTAAGTGTATTCCTTACGAATGAACTGTTTCTATTACTGAAACATTTCTGCACTGCAATTTGGAAAAAGCTAGAGTATCGCAATGCAATTATGCCTCATTGTCCTGTTTTCAGCTGGGATAGAGTTAATTTTCTTCCTAGCAGCTGGTACAGTGACACGTTTCAGATTTAGGATGAGAATAATGTTGATAACACACTGATATTTTAGTTGTTACCAAGCAGTCAAGAATTTTTCAGCTTCTTATACTGCCCTGCCAACAAGAAGCTAAGGGGGGTGGGCAGGGGTGCCCAAGAAGCTGGGAGGGGACGCAGCCAGGACAGCTGACCCACACTGTCCAAACAGATATTCCATACCACATTATGTCATGCTCAGTATATTAAGTTTGGGGAGTTGGCCGGGAGGCAGTGCAGCTCAGGAACTAGCTGAGCATCGGTTCCAGGTAGTGAGCAACTGTGCTGTGCACCACTTTATATATTCTTTTATCACTGTTATTATTCTCTTCCTTTTCTGTCATATTAAACTGCCTTTATCTCAACCTACATAAGAGGAATACTTTCTTACCTTTTCAGATGGAACTTCTGAACTGCTAAGCTTTCGCACTGATGTTGGTTCTTTGTCTTCTGTACCTTCCGAAAGAAAAATACCATACCTTTGAGCGAACTGTTTCTCATAACACAGAGCTACGTTAAAATGATGTGCAGACTTTAATCCAAACATTTTTTATCAGTATCCTTGGTACATAGTGTAAAACAGAATAGCAATTTTATGTATAAGATCACATTAACAAATATTAATATAAGCTTGGCATGTCTGATAAAATCCACATCACTATGATGCCACAAGCCTAAGACTAGATTTGTCATTTTTTAATAATTCTCTGTCTTAAGGTTGACGTACTTCCTCAAGAAGCAGAGAAAAACGGATTTGGAGACAAGGGGAAAAGACAACTTCTTGCCATCTGTTTTATGCTACCATCTAATATCAGCTGCTGTCCTGAGCATCTCGGATTCCACTGGCAGCTATTTTGAGTAACTGGACAGTCTTTTGCAGAATTAAATATAAAGGCCCAAAGCTGCAGGAAGAACACACTTGCTCCATTTCATGCCGAAGGAAACCAGAGGAGAGTTATCCTATGAATAGTAAATAATAATGCTTTCCTGCTGCTTAGTAAGATGTTGGCACATTAATTTGTTAGACTGACCAAAAGCCATATATACATCTAATTATTATATAATGTATAAAATATGCATTAATGTGTATATAATATACATAATGCTGTATATACAAGTACATAATTTAATTATATCTAATAGTGTTATTGATAGCAAAATTATAATGATATAATTTATATATAACTACACATGTATATGTTCATCTGCATCAGAGGAAGGAAATAAGCATTTAGAGTGAAGCTTAGAGATCTTTTCCTATATCAGCCTTTCTTCAAAGAGAGATTCATTCCCACAATTCAGATTGGTAGAAAATAAGTTTGCACTCCATACATCTTTTACTCTTCCTAGCATTTTATGAAAAGTCACATTCAGAAAGGTGCTGTTTAAAATATCCCAAGATCTTATATCTAAACAAAAATGGTACATAGCAACTGTTGAAGCTCTTCCTGCTTGCACATGCACACATTTTCTAAAAGCACACACACAAGAAAAAAATAACATGTAATACCCATATGTATTCTCAAAGAAAAATAAAAAGTTATTACACTGTGCAAAGATCCTAACCACACAGTCCATAGGATGGAAGTAGGGAGACACAGCTGGTACAGTAGTTTCTGTGATGCAGACAGACATATGCAGGGATATACC